AGTAGAAAAGTAAGAAACATTGTAACAAAAATAACTTTAAATTTGTGTCAATATTCTATATTTCCCTAAATGATAACAAACATCCATAATCCACCAAATAACCAAAAACCACCCACACACCTCAGCTCTTGGGAATGTGTGTGTTGTTTTCTCAATACTGCTTCCTGCTGTCTGTGGACGAAGCATTGTTAGGGTCCCAGAGAGAATATTTGAGATAATGACCAAGTCCTAGGAAGACCAGTAGTAACCTTTGCTGACAGATATCACCTGTCAAGATTCAGGAGGTCTGGCCTGATCAAACCTGATCCATATTAACCCTGAAGGAATCCACAGCTTCTCATATCCTGCGGGAACAAAACTCCAAAGCATTTTTTGATTTCCATTTGACAAATATATTTTTTGACTTCTTTTTTTAAAGTTAAGGCATTCTTAAAGTGTATAGTCTGATTGATTTCAACAGTCCCTCTTTCAATTTCAGGTCTCTTTGCAGCTGTTGTTTGTTTAACAATCAAAAAGTTCAAAATCAACACAGCATACAGGACACAAACTCACTGTATATTTCCCATCTTACATGTTTTTTTCTTTTACTCTCTCTTTAAAGACTGTATTTTATGAACTATTCATTTTTTTTTCTGTGACTATACCCTTTTCCTTTTCTTAAGCCTACGCACATTGTTAAACATACTGTTCTCTGCTTAGAGGTTTTCCTGTCAGGACCTCTTTTATTGCTTATCTTCAGCCTTTTTTGACCATATGAGAAAAACGTAGACTGCTAACCTACACGTGGATTCTCCACATGCAGCTCCTCAGCTGGCCCTGCCTACTTCTGGGGTCCTGAAAGCCAAGTGTGAAACTCTCAGCTGGCTGGAGGTTTGTCTGACCAGGAACTGCATTCAACCTTCCTAACGCTCTAGAATGCCAATGCTTGCACTGTGGCGGGCCTTTTTACTCAGGTTTTTATTTTTGTTCCTACTCAGTGTACTAGCTGTTCAAGGGTTCAGTGACCAGCAGAAACTGTCCAGCTGAAACTCTTCAAGGAGCCGTATCCCTTTTTTGTTGTTCAGCTTTGTCAGGCCCTACATGGAAATACGAACCCCAAGTTGGTATGACAAATTGTTACTGTTTTTTTCTCTTTTGGGGGGCACTACCCAGCTCCCAAATAAATTCACACATGGAGGCTTATTATTACTTATAAATACCCAGTCTAAGCATGGCTTGGTTTCTAGCCAGCTTTTCTTAACTTTAATTATCGCATCTAACTTTTGCCTCTGGGATTTTTTCATTTCTTACTTCTGTAAATCTTACTCTGTTGCTGCTTGTGTGGCTGGGTGGCTGGCCCCTGGAGTCCTCCTCCTTCTCTGGCTCCTGTTTTTTTTTTCACTCCTCCATCTCTTTTCTCCTCCCAGATTTCTCCTTCTATCTCTCCTCTCTGCCCGCCAGCCCCACCTATCCTTTCTTCTGTCTTGCTATTGGCCGTTCAGCTCTTTATTAGACCATCAGGTGTTTTAGACAGGCACAGTAACACAGCTTCACAGAGTTGAACAAATGCAACATAAACACAAGTAATACACCTTAAAATAATATTCTCCAAAGCTCTCCCCTTTCCCTCTCCTTAGGCACCTTTTCTGGGCTCTGTGAAGAGGGTTTTTAAAGTGTTTGAGTTGAAGACTCAGGGTTTTCTGGACTCTTACATTGCTTTGTTGGCTGGGCCCCTTGCTCCGCAGCAAATGAATATGAACCTTTGCTCAGCCCAGTCTGACTTCGAAGAAAAACTTCCGTTCCTTTGTGGGAGTTCCCATGACACCTAGGAGATTACGGGCTCGTGAGAGCTGTGTTTCTGCGTGGAACTGCTTGCACACGAGAACCACGTGGGTGGCTAACGACTTCTATTGTGCCGACAAGCCCCGTGGACACCTGGTCCGGGTCCCCACGTGGCCTCCCTCAGGGAGGCATTGTGACAGCGCTTTGGCCCAGCTGGATCTTGCTGGGGCTGGTTGGGAAGGATCAGCCAAACAGATCGGTTAGCATTTTAGTCCCGGTGCTTTTATTTTTGCTGAAATCTCCTCTTGAGCAAACAGTTGCATCACTAATTGCTAAATATGACATTATCAGACTGTACTTCCTGGGGGTGAGCAGGGGGAGCACTTAATTACCACTGCTTTTGTCTCTAACTAATGGGAAAGAACGTAGCCATGCCCCTGTGCCGCCATTCCAGAGGGTTGGGCTATAATCTCTAGGTGTTAACCGAAGTAGAGGGAATGACCCGACCCGTGGACATCATTGCTTTACCCGAATTTACCCAGCAACTAACAAAATAGGTCTCTTTTACTAAAGACTAATTTTCACATTAAAAAAAAAAACTTTATTATGGGCCTAGTGCAGTTAAATTGCTGGGCACAGTGGGGGACCCTGCACTAGGCTGGTAATATTACACAATGGGAAAATGGCTCAGGTGCGAACCCCGCTGCCTGGTAACTCAGACCCTGGATAATTCTCTTTCGATGAAATTCCACCAGGTGGCACAAAATGTCTCCAAGTGCCTCTGAGCATGCCTTCTGGTGAATGGGGAGAAAAGGATTGGGAAGGACAGCGGGGGCCTCACCCACTCTTTCTGATGCACACCTCCTTGCCCTCAAGCTGCTTTTACAAAGGCAAAAAGACACAGACACAGCAATCTATGCATTCTATATGAATATCCTTTTGAATTATTTATGAGACTAGGAGGAAGACACATGGGGCATTGTGGGAGGAGGGAAAAAAGGGAAGAGGCAGGGGACTCGCAAGGTTGCCAACGTGCCAAATCCAAATTCATCAATTTCGTTCAGCGGTCCTCACGTAAAAATGCTTCTGTGAATTTAAATGCAGAATCTTTCACACAAATTGTAAATGTTCTGTCATGCTGAGAAACTGTAGTGATTCTAAAGATTTGTAAAGTTTAAATGAAGTAAAAATTATCAATGTTCAAAGACCAGGGGAAGTGTAATGAAATGAAGTAAAATGCCTTATTATTCTATATTCTTACCACCCCTCAGAATAGCCCAAATATTCAACTAGCTCAGCGTAGGGACCTGCGCTCATTAGGTTTTTTTGTCAGCTTGACACAAGCTAGGGTCATTTGGAAGCAGGGACCTCAACTGAGAACATGCCTCCATCGGACAGGCCTGTGAGCAAGTCTGTGGGGGCATTTTTTAAAATTAATAATGATATGGGAGGACCGAGGCCACTGTGGGAGTTGTCACCCCTGGGTGGGTGGTCCTGGGCTGCACAAAGAAGCAAAATGAGCAAGACATGGGGAGCAAGCCAGCAAACAGAATTCCTCCGTGGTCTCTGCCTTGGTTCCTGCCTCCATGTTCCTGCTGCAGTTCAAGTCCTGCCCTCCCTCAGTGATGGAGTGTGACTGGAGCGTTTACAGTGGAATAAACTCTTTCCCGCCAACTTGCTTTGGGTCATGATGCTTCATTACAGTGACAGAAATCTAATTAGAAAGGACCGGAGGTCTGTTAGAATGGGGTGTCTGTTAAATAAGCAGGTATAAATTGTGAGAACATGCAGTCCAGGCCAGAGGTAGCCTCAGTGACCAGGGAGTCTGAGACTGCTCATGCTGGTGTCTCAGCCCCATAAACAGACTACACAAGTCTCATAAAGTATCACACATGTTCAGGCTGAGAACTTCCCTGATGATTTTAATATATCTGTAATTAATAAACGTCAAGCTAAGAATTCATTTCTTTTCACATCAAATATGTGTCTAATTAGGGTTTCTCTTGCTGCGATAAATGCCATGACAGAAAACAACTTGGGGAGGAAGGGGTTCATTTCAGCTTACACTCAGATTCTACCACATGGCTGAGGGAAATCGGGGCAGGAACTCGGGCAGGAATGGAAGCAGAGGCCATGGAAGGATGCTGCATACTGGCTCGCCCCTCATAGCTTGATGGTTTGTGTTCTTAGGCACTCCAGGACCGCCTAGCCAGAGATGGCACCACTCCCAAGGGGCTGGACCCTCTTACGTTAGTCATTGATCAAGGAAGTGTCCCACCAACTTGCCTGTGCACCAGTCTGACGGAGGCATTTCCCAGCTGAGGTTGCTCTCTTCAGACAACTGCTACTTGTGTCAAATTGACAACCAACTGACTAGCGCATTGTGGGTAGGTCCCAAGAGCTTCATGCTAATAGGCCCTTGACAAGCACAAGCAAATCGATGATGTGAGCTGATCTAGGAGGTGACCCTTGAAATCTTTTTTAATTTACTTTTTTTGAGAATTTCATACACATGTGTTTACACTATTTTCACCCCTCCCTCTTCTGTGCCAATGCCTCCTGTGTCTCCTGTACTTTCTACATTATTCTCTCTCTCTCTCTCTCTCTCTCTCTCTCTCTCTCTCTCTCTCTCTCTCTCTCTCTCACAC